GAGCCAACACGCGCACGCGCTCCCTCGCTCGCAGACACACTCACACGCGCGTGAGCGTACATACATACACACACACGCGCCTCCCCACCCCCACCCCCCGTCCCCCTCTGTCACCCGCCACAGCCTACAAAACAGTTATAGCCTTTGTTAAAAAAAATGTCCAAGCACTATGTATCAGAAGAGAGACACATTCCCTGGGAAAGGAAAGTCCTAGGAACGCCACACCCTCTATTGCAACAGCCCGGCCAACAACCCACCTCCCCCAAATCCTCTCCCCAGGGACGGGAAACGTTCCAGCCAACTAGGCACCCCGAGAAAGCAACACCAGGGAAAAGAGTAAGCTGGGGCACCAAGTAGGGGGACTGAACTTGAAGCTGGGCCACCTCCCAGGGCCCTCAGGCGAACCTTCCTGGCCTGGCCAAGTTCAAGTGCGGACTTCCAGCTTCCACATGCCTTTCCTCCTCTTTCTTCCAATTCGGCCGCCCCTACACACCTTGCAGTCTCCCGCCACCGCTCACTCCTCTCCCCACGCGGCCGGAGCCTGGCAACCTCGGGCAGCCCCGCCACCGAAACAGCTGCACGAGTTTCCCCTAACCGGGTCAAAGTCTTCCATACACACCCAAGTCCCTTTCCGGCTGCAACCACGTTCTCTCTAAGCAGTCCGGCACCGTTGCCGCACTCACCGTAAGCCCCGCTCCGTTACTACGCGCTAGCAGAGCTGCAAGCCCCGCCTGCGCACTCCTGCTACTGCCAAGCCAAGAGCGGAGAGAGAGAGCCAGCAGCCGCAGCCGCTGCGAAGAGCAATGGGAAGGCTTCCGACTCAGTCCAGGAGGGTTAAGAAAAAGGGGAGGGGCCGGGAAAGGGGGTGGGAAGCAAGGGGCGTGGTCAGGCGGGGCGGGAAGGGAAGGGAAAAGTAGAGCTTCCACCCATGCATGCTAGGCCGTTGAACTGGAGTCCAGCTAGAAAAGCTGCCATTATCCTGTCTATGCGTCCCCATACCCATCCAGAAGCAAACCTTGCTTGGAACAAAACCAAACAGGTGTGTTGGAGCAGCCGGTCTCCTGACTCACCACTCCATTACATCTTTTCCTTTATTAATTCTCACTCCACGTTTTCCTCAGCCCTCTTTGTGTTAGTGGAATGGAAATTTCTCATCTACAGTGAGAAAATGTGTGTGTGTGTGTGTGTGTGTGTGTGTGTGTGTACCCAGCCCAGGACTGGTGAGTACGTTTGAGTGTTGTTACAGCTCAGGCAATTGCCCTTTCCCTAGAAGCAAATTTGCGTTATTGCTTCTGAACAACTTTTGGGGCCAACAACCTGAATTTTCTTCAAAACAGATTTTTTTAAATAGGCTCTTGATTTGAGGCTCTGGATGTTTTTGTACTCTGTATATAGCCCAGGTTAGCCTCTACCTCGTGAGGATGTGAAGATCCTGCCTCAGCCTTCCAAAGTGCTGGTATTTCAGGTGTCTGCCACAGCATCTTGCTCTGAATAATTACCTTGGTTAAGATCCATCTAAATGCCTTGGGAAAGGAGAACACAAGTTGCCAAATAAGACCTATTTTTAAAGTCTTTGCTGGGGGTTTATAATTTAACACTAAAAGGCTCCTCTTAGATATGGGATCTAAGGCCATGTTGTTGAGTACACTTTCTTCTGGTGTTTACCAGTTCAAGCTTAAAGTGATTATTATCCCATGCTGCACGCATGCTTAGTTTTAAGTTCTGAGCTTTTCTGTTTAGGCTCTGGTCAGCTGTGGCATGACATCTCATGCTTTCAGATCAGCTATTAAAATAAACACACCTCAGTGAACCCAAAGTGAAGAGGGTGTGGCCTTGAAGTTATTTGTTCCAAGCTAATTCCCCTACCCACCCCTCCTTTTCTTTCTTTCTTTCTTTCTTTCTTTCTTTCTTTCTTTCTTTCTTTCTTTCTTTCTCTAGCTGTTGTCATGATGGAATTAGGGCCACACTAGGAGGCTCTTCTCAATAAATATTTCAGTTATAGTTGGAACTTTATTTATTTAGGTTTTTTTTTTTTTTTGAGACAGGATTTCTCCGTGTAGCCCTGGCTGTCCTGGAACTTTCTCTATAAACCAAGCTACCTTCAAACTCAGAAATCAACCTTCCTCTTCCTCCCAAGTGCTAGGATTAAAGGCTTGTGCCACCACCACCTGGCATGACTGGAACATTTAATGGGGCAGTCTGATCATTGTCACTAAAGATCTAAATATACTGAAATTCCCTCCATTGGCTTTGTGGTTCTTCCATCCGTGTATTTTTACAAAGTAGACTTTCTTGAGTTCACTTCTACTTTGTATTTGAAAAATAAGCTTAGGGAGATTGTAGGAAGTACTTTTTGCTGAGAGATATGCTGACAGGTTTTGCAGAATGAATCTTTAAGTGACTGAAAATGTAACTTTATCCTATCCATTTCATTAGTAAAACATTCCCTGTAAAGAAGGTGCTTCAAAAATACAGTGGGTCAATAAAGTTGATTTTTACACCTCTAATAGAGGAAGATAAGTGGAGGATTTCACTTTTAATTTGATTGCTGGCTTCTTTCTTTTTCCCTTAATGTATCAGGTTATTTTGGTAGAAGTAACAAATACTACATTGAAATAGCTAAAGCTAAATGACAAGGTTATTCTGTAACCCAAACTGTGAAAGGGTAGGTCTGTTGTTAGCCTTGGGAATAAATGAAACCAGAAAGTAGAATGTTTGAAATTCCATCTCAGGCTCTCAATCTTTCCTCTCTGAGACAGGGTCACTCTTTCAAAACCTTCCAAAGTCACCTACTACAGGCTTGGAAGCACAGTCTCTGAACAACAATGGGGTCAAGCCTCTCAAATCGAGTCAGACAGAAAATGTCTCTCTTCCATCAGTTCAGAAAAAAAAAAGCTTTTGATTGGGCATATTATCACAACTGCTTCTGGACAGAAAATGTACAGATAAGATGTTAATGAGACTCATACATATACATTCAACCACATGATTAAAAATAAGTAAAAAAAATTCTAAATGAAAATTTAAGATAGGGAAAAATGTTTTCAGGCTTGTTCTGACCTTCAGGTCTCAAAAATAAGAGAGCACTGGGGTTTTGTCTGGGTGTTTTTTATTTTGTTTTAAATTTTTAAATTTTATGTGTGTGGTCTTTCATCTGCATGACTGTCTATGCACCCCATGCATGCCTTGCTCACAGAGGCCATAAGAGAGCTCCAGATCTCCTGGAATTGGAATGACAAACAGTTGTGAGGTTCTATGTGGGTTCTGGAAATGGAACCCAGGTCAGAAGAGAATCTAGTGTTCTTAAACACTGAGCCCACTCTCTAGCCTCCCAGATGTTGTTTACAGAAGAAAAGAAAAGGACTAGACAGACAAAAGATAAATAAAGTGAACACTGGGCTGGAGAAATAGCTCACAAGTTATGAGTGCTGCTCTTACAGAAGACCCAGGTTTGATTCTCTGATCTTGCACAGTGGCTTACAACTGCCTATAATTCCAGTGCCAGGGCATCTGACACTCTATTCTGGCCTTCACTTGTACCAGGCACACACATGGTGCACCTACATATATCCAGACACACATACACATAAAATAAATAAATCTGTTTTGAAAAAGAAGATACACACAATACAATACCTGTATTTAAGGACTAGAGAGTCTGAACATTTTTGTATTCTCTCTGTTTCTGTGTATTTGTCTCGCTGGGTCTGTTTCTGTCTCTATCTCTCTGTCTTTCTCTCTCTCAGAAATGTGTGTATTCGTTGTCTATGGCTGCTGTAACAAGCCATACTACAAACTTATTACAGTTGAAGTGGTGGATTAGGGGATTAGCGCACTTAGACTGTTCTTGCAGAAGACCTAGGTTTAGTTTGGAACAACCTACATCAGGAGTTTCATAACTGCCTGTAACTCCAACCACAGGGGATCTGGTACCCTCTGACTTCTTTGGTCTCTTGCCCACAGAATAAATTCATATAGGCACACTCATACACATACATTTTTAAAATACATATTTAAAACTACAATAAAACAGCTTTTACATTTTTGGAGACCAGAGGTAAGAGTGAAGTTCCTTTTAAACAACTCTTTGGGGGAGTCTTATTTAAACCCAAAATGTTCTAAATAATTTGTAATCAGCTTAATTTTCCTTAAATTACTTTCCCCTGATTTGCCTCTTGTTTAGTGAATGAGGCAGGATTCGAAAGCATATTTTAGAATTGGTGTTCTGGATGTAATATCAGTTTCACTCTCACCCCATAATGCAGATATCTCTTTTCTTCTACTCAAAAGCCTCCAAGGAGCCTCCTTCTCCAATATTCCAGTATCAGACATCTAAATCATGTATAGATCCAGTCTAATTGATTTCAATATTAATGACTTATAAATCAAATACCTGACTCTAAACTCTCTCCTGATTTTCAGATCTATGATACAACTAAGTGGTGAATTAGTTTTGTTCAAGTTATAAAAAATAAAGGTTAATTCCCCCCCAATCTGTCTTTTATTTTGAGTTTTCTTTCATTGTTAGTGAAACCACCATGTACTCCACTATACACATTCACAGATGCTCCATACTGAAGTCTTTGTGTTTCATTCATTTTTACCTCCTATATGTACCGCATACTGTTTTTTCTTTCCTTCTGATTCATTTTAACTATCTGAGCTGCAATATGGTCTTCCAATTAATTTTCTTGTCTTTAGTTTCTCCCAACTCCAACCTACCTTGCCCAATTTTCAGAATTATCTTTAAAAAAAAAAAAACACGAATATGATCAACTCACAGCTCTGCCTAAATACATTCCTGGACCCTTGAAAGAAACTTCTCTGACCCAGACTGACAACAACAAATATCTATACACATAAACATAAATATTTAGGAAGCTGTTAGATCCAGGTATCATTACTGAAGAGGGACAGAAAGACTTTAAGAGGTGAAAGAAGGTGAGAAGTGCTCTGAAAGTCTATCTCGAGGATGTGGTATGACTACTATAAACACACAGTAGGTGTTTCCATCTGGACAAACTTGTACAACAAACGGACATGAAGCCAGAGGCAGACCTCTGTTAGTTTATGGCCAGCCAAGAATCCATAGTGAAACTTTATCTAAGTTTTTGTCTTTTTATTCACTTTAACATAACAAATTCAAACTTATTTAACGCAAAGAAATTTTCAAATCTTATACTATTACATCATTACAGATGTATATTCTTATCACCCAAACACATACACACACATATGTTAAATTGCTAACTATATTGATAATACATTCCTCTCACTCTCTCCATTTCTCTAGATAAGATAGTGTTTATTAAACAAAAAAAAATCCATTTGGCATTATGAAAGATTTCTAGATTTGATTCATATTTTTTAGTTATTTTTGCAGAAGTAGACAGAGCTACAAATCAAGTACAAAATAGGAAGGTAATGAAGAATCCAAGAAAGTTCTTAGAAATCTCCAAAGAAGTATACATACATGTGTCTAGAACTCCTAATTGCCCAAAATGCTATATTCATTTACATACATAATTTCACAATAAGGTAGTCCTTATTGTCATAGTTATTATTCTATTTCTTTGAAGAGACAGTATAACCAAGGCAACTCTTATAAATGAAAAAATTTAATTAGGATCTTGATTACATTTCTAAGCATGGCACTGGAGCAGTAGCAACAGGAGCTGGGAGGTAAGGGGGGAAGGGACTGGGCCTGGTTTGGGCTTTTGAAACCTCAGAAATCACCCACAGTGACACATCTTCTCCAACAAGGACATACCTCCTAATCCTCA